GGATATATTTATGTGTGTGTGAGAGGGAGAGAAAGAGAGAGAGAGCATGCATGTGCATGTGGGGAGGCGCAGAGGAAGAAGGAGAGAAGGTATCTAAGCAGACTCCCCACTGAGCACGGAGCATGACACGGGGCTCGATTCCCGGACCCTGAGATCAGGAACTGAGCTGAAATCAGGAGTCGGATGCTTAACAGACTGAGCCACCCAGGCTCCCTGGGTAGTGGGTATCTTTGATGGTTTACAGGAGGAGGTGAATTGTCAGAACCCAATACTTGGCTGACGCTGCAAAGAATGAACTGGAAGAGAATACTGGAGTTAGAATCCTACTTCTAGTTCAGAAAAGAGATGATGAAGACCTGAACTGAAGTGGAAAATGAGAGGTTGGGTTGAACTTAAAACAAGCATGCAAACAGAAAAAGTGAGTAAAGTCAGTGGAAGCAGGGAAGGAAGGAATGGAAAATTACCTCAAACTTGGGTAATTAAATAACACAGGTAGTCTAGAAAGAGAAGTTACTTTTTGGGGGAGTGGGGGGAGCAAAGGAGAGAGCAGGTAATGAATTTAATAGCAGACATTTTGAGTACAATTATTCTTGCTTCAGACGTTATAACTTCTCTTTTACTTAAACATTGGTGCTTGGTTATGTGATATATTGCCTTATAATGCTAAAGTAGAAAAAAAGTTGTTAATAGATGCTGGTTAACTACAAATTCTATAGTTAGTTATCGATTAAATGTTTGCTCCACTACTTATTAAGAAGATCGAAAACCGAAAGCCAATTAACCATGCCTGCCATGTACTTTTTTTAGTTATATTTGAAACAAATTCTGTATCATTTTGCCCATTGCCTTTTCCAAATATATATCTAATCTATTTTTCTGGTAGAGCCTTGAAAGAGTTCTTTTGAGAGCTTACTGCAAATAAAAACATAACACAGTATCCTGCCCCTGGGACAATTACAATGCTTCCAGTTAAAGCTACTCTCATCTCACTTCGCCTCATGCTGAGTTTACACATTTTAATTGTTTCATAATTATAGGGAACACAAGCAGCAGCAAACCCCAGGTTGTTTTGTCATGTTGTCTTCATCCAGAGACTGTAGAAATCTTGATTCTGAGGGAGGGAGAAAACGAATTCATGTCAAAGGAAATATCTTTAAAAATAAGGTCAAAATCACAGCTAAAATTTTGAAACCCCAAGAAACCTCTATCTTATTTAAATGCTCACTTCCTTTCTTTTAGCTGGGAATATCAAAGATGAAAAACTGAAAATAAATGATATACTTTCAAGATTCAGGGTCACTGAAATTAGAATGACTTAGAAAAGTATAGCTGTAAGTGTGAAATCCATTTTCAGATTTGTCATACAATATTAGGGACCAACTAGGAATGAAGAAAGAGACTGATGTCATTTGGGGTATTATTCATGGAAATCTCACCTCCAAAATCTGCCACCACAGCATGCCCATCCTCACAGAGAAGAATATTGTGACTATAAAAAACAAAACAAAAAACAACTTTGAGTAAACTTTACTATTACTGAATCCAGTGCCTTAAGGAAGAGGATGATATTTGTTTACTCAGAGGATAAAGAAGCTGCAAAAGATGACCAGAGATCTTAGGTTAGTGAGTCTGATTTTCTTAATTTTGCTAATTCAAAAGGAATATTTACAAAATCATTTTATATCTAACTTTCAAAGTATACAAAGTATTCAACTTTGGGTAGATCTTCTAAACTTGTCAAAAAGCCCCATTAGCTGAAGATCAGTTTTTCAAATCCTTGAGGTTCAGTTGCTAATACAATTGTAACAGACAGGGTCAAAGGCATCTCTGAGCGTATGAGAGTCAGAGCAAGGGAACCAGCTTGCTGGAACCCTAGGCATAAGGACAGTTCAAGTCAGAGCCCGACATGAACACAGTAAAAGGACCCTTTGTGGAAAATGTCTTGGCCAATATCTTCTGGCTACAGTTCCAGGAAGAAGAGTGTTTTTAAGACTGACACTGGCAAAACCACTTTTTAAGTTCTTAGGGAAGAAAAGGTATAAAGGTCATCAAAATCTTTCCAAACCATAATTCAAGCTAGATTAACAATGTCCTTCCTTTTCAAAAAGTAAATCAAGACTGGGAAAGCCCCAAAAGAGGTCGTTCCTCCCACATGTTGGTGAAATGAGTTGTGGGATATCTTACGGACAAGCATATCATGATCCAAGACTGTCTTTGAGTGCTTCTTACTGAATGCCTTTCTTCATGCTCATTTCACATTTGGCTTGTAAATGAGTCATTTCAGTATTAGGAGATCCTCCACTGGATTTCTTTTAGTGTCCATAGGCTATGCTATATTTATTTTATTGGCTCTATCCTTAATTGTTTTGCTTCGTGATCAATATAAGGAAAACACTATTATTTTCTAGTCCTGAATAAGTCCTGAATAAGATATTGAATCCTTTACATAAATGCTTTTTGTTGCTGACTGAAGCTTTATAAGAAAGTTATTTTTGAACTTCCATAGTATCATTAGTGAATTTTATTTCTGTAATACAGACTTAATCCTCTTTTCAACTACCAAAAATCTAGACTATGTTTAAAGTCACTGTGCTTGGAAAAACCCAGTGTAGAAGTAATCAAGGATGTCAAAACAAAATCCCCAAATCCTCTCTTTAACTACAAATTTATCAGTTGCTACATGTGATGAGATGACTGTCATGATAAAGAACTTGATAGCATCAGGAGCTCTCTGGAAGTTCAAGTACAACAAGAAAAATGCATCTAATTTTGTACCACTAGATTCTTTGAAGGATTTATGGGAGTTTCAATACCACAATCCCTTGGTCTATCAAGGGATAATGGGTGTTACATTTTAGAGATATCATTAAAACACATACTGAGCATGGATTCCCCAATCATCATACATTTATATGTATAAGCATCCTGTCTGTTATTTTATTTTAATTCCAATTAGTTACCTAGAACAGTGGTTATTAAAAAAAATATTTTTAGGAGTATAATCTCAACATGTAAAACAGATTTGTAAATGGAGCTGCTGCTCTAGTTCAATATAGGGAAAGTCTCCCAGAACTACTAGTTAAACCTTCACTTTTTCCATAATAGTAGTCATCCAAGCAATAGCTTAAAATCATGGATCTTGAGAAGCCCTCAGATAAGTTACATCTATATGGAATATTCAGAAAATTTCTTCCAAAGTAAATATTTTATATTATTAAGAATGATGTTATACCAGTTAGCTGGAGTTGGGGTAGAGGGTTTAGCAAAATTTTACCCTTTTATCAAAGAAATTTAAGAGAATTTGGTCACTGGGCCACCCAGTACATCACGGTATGAGAAGCAGGATATCTCAGGATGCATGGATTATGCTCATTGCTGTACCTCTGGTGTTTTTAGCACATGCATTACATAGAAGCATTCAATAAACATTTGTTGAACAAATAAAAGAAATAGAAAATAGACAGTCATGAGTACTTTTTGAATACCACTCATCAATCTACTGGTAAATATTTAGAATTCACAGAATCCTACAATTGGAAGAGACATTAGAACTAACTTAGTATAACCCTCTTAGTACCTAGAAGAGTCCAAAGCTCAGAGAACTTCATGTATCAATGGAGATTACATAGGTAACTAGTAACAGTGAAGACATAGACTCTAGTTCATGAAGGCCATTCTCTCAGATCTTAGATCAGGGACTGGAAAACGGTAGGTGAGAAATGCATTTTATGAATTATTCTTGTGTTAGGTTATGGACCCTTTCCCCCAAGCATGATATTTACTTTCCTCACATTATCAAGATACTCTGAGAGATGCAGAGTGAGGCAAGTTATGAATTTCATCTTCAGGGAACTTAAAATCAGCTGATAAAAATAAAGATGAATGTGGGTTATGTAAGACTTCAAAGAAAATAGTATAGGTTAAAAAAGGAAATTATTTTTGAAGTGGGACTTGAGGGAAAGTCTGTAAGTCTATAAATACAAATTGGCTGAATGCTGGTCATATACCAAGAAATTTTCTATATACTGGGATATAGTGGTGAACAAGATAGGCAAAGAGTTTGTGAGCCGATGTAGTGAGGAGGAAATGGGGCAGAAGATGAAGGGAGAAAAGAAGTCTAAGTTGGGGGATGATCTTAGAAAGGTCAAGAGTTGGGGATGCCTATAGTTTCTATCAGGAATTATAGGAAGAATATACTTCCTAATTGGAGTACATGCTGCAGAATAATGGAGGAAAACTGAGCGGAGGTGGTGTTGGATTATTACAAGGAAAGATTAAACCTGGGAAGGGAATTCTAGGCCTGATGCATGGAGATAGCACATTTTTATGCATAGGGGGCAATGCTCTGAAAGCAGAAAGATTAGTATTCAAGAATAATTTTAGGCCCTGGGTACAGAAGGCCAAAAGTAAAAAGAATGGAAAATAAACAAGATAGGGTTAATCCATCAAAACATCTGAAAAAAAGTGTCTAGGTCTTGGGATAGCTTAGATATAGAGGACTAAAGGGAACAGAAAGCCAAGGATCATCCTTCATCACACTTCAAGTTTTCTAGTGTGGATTTCATAAGCACAAGGCAATAACATACCCAATTAGAAGGGATTGTCTTACTAAAAATCCTATGCTTTTTTAAAAGATTTTATTTGTCAGAGAGAGAGAGACAGAGAGAGAGCACAAGAAGGGGGAACGACAGGCAGAGGGAGAAGCAGGCTCCCCACTGAGCAAGGAACCTGTTGCCCGGCTCGATCCCAGGACCCAGAGGCTTAACTGACTGAGCCACCCAGGCATCCCAAATCCTATGCATTTTTATGAAAAGGGTAGTGGCTGAAGTGGGACGCTAAGAAACTTTAAAGTCAATGTTGTGCTTGGCAAGATTGGACTCACCAGACAAAAAACTATTATTTTTATCAAATTAAAATGAACATGAACTCGGATGCCTGGGTGGCTCAGTTGGTTAAGCGACTGCCTTCAGCTCAGGTCATGATCCTGGAGTCCCAGGATCGAGTCCCGCACCGGGCTCCCTGCTCAGCGGGGAGTCTGCTTCTCCCTCTGACCCTCCCCCCTCTCATGCTCTCTCTATCTCATTCTCTCTCTCAAATAACTAAATAAAATCTTAAAAAAAAAAATGAACATGAACTCTTGTGTTCTTAACAAACAATAGCAAATTACACGAAACAAAGGATGAAGTGACAATTTAGGAACACAAGGCGATCTGAGTTCATAGCAGCAAATGGAACCAAATGTCAAAAAGGATGCTATGAAAATAGTACTGCAGAACTTCAGGAAGTGCTGGAACAAAATGAGATTTTCTATTTAATTCAAGATAGTCTTTTGGATTTGTCCACTCCTTCTCTAACCACTCAGTAACAATGGAAACTAATTTTTAGAACTACCTCTAAGATTCAGCCATTCATTTTTTAGTTAGTGCTGAGTGATAGCTCCTATCTGGAGTTAAATAAATAGAGATAGGCAGGGTGAAGCTGAGAAAATCTGTGCTAATCAGTGACAGCACTAAGGCTTTGTGGTGGCCCTTGTGGTGGGTCAGAGAGTCATCAGCATCGGGGTTGAGGATACCTAGGGAAGGGGATGAGCTTAGAGCTGAAGTCAGTTAAGACAGCAGAAGTGGTACAATTATTATTAGTGATAACTTCAAGAGTTTATTACTGAGATTTTTTCTGAATGGCAAGTTTTGAGAGGAATGAGAGTAGTGAAAATTGCGGGGCAGTAACAGCGAGGGTAGCAGTCAAGAAAAAAGGGAATAAATACTTGATGAGAGCCTCGTTTGGGCAAGCACTGATTTTTCCATTCCTCATGGATCCACTATATGGTTGGTATTAGCCTATGCACCCTATGGATGGATAACTGAGGATCACAGTGGTTGCATAAGATGGCCAGTATCACAGCTAGTAAGAGGTGGAGACAGCATTCAATTCTCAGGCTCCAAAATTTGCCTTTTTTAGGAGAAGCTGACTTCCACATCATCCAGATAGGCCCTGAGGAGCCAGGACTCTTCCAGCTTGATGTCTAGACAGAAATTCCAGAAAGTCTGCTTGAGTGAAGGAAGACCAGCCAGCTAGTGCTAAAAAGTTCTGTGTTCAATGTATGACTATAAGGTAATGAGAATGAAGTCAACAAGCTACATGGAAATAAATCTAATACACCTCTGATCCACAAAGACACAGCAGGCAAACACTAACCTTCTTCCCTTCTAGAGTGTGGTTAATAGGTCACATGTAGATGAATGAAGCACAGTCCCTGCCAACAGGAAACTTGCAATCTGACCTGGGAATCCAGCTAGGAACACAAAGAATGTCATCAGGATCAAAAGAGTGAACGGAGACAAGGTGATGGGAATTCTAAGACTTCTTCTTCCTTAGGAGACCACCCAGGAGGTTCATTTTTATCTGTTTGCTTTTATATAAAATTCTGGGGTGGGGAGGCAGTTTTCTGTTACACATGACGCTTTACAGAGCATCTTCATGCACATAACA